TTTATTTATATTGGTCGTCCAGTAGGTCAATTAACTAATCATTTAGATAATAGGACGACAACTGCGGTAGACGAGAGTAAAATTGATCGTCTTACAGATCATCTGATTGATACAAATTTAAGTGATTCAAGTGACTACAAATTTGATGAATAAATCATTTCACACTTAGTAATTAATTTTTTGTCATTAAAATTCCCGCTCAATTTGTTGGGAACCCACACCCTCGCCCGCAGGTAACATTAGGAAACAGTCTTTCCTGTCCAATAATTCCAAGGAAAATAACAGGTGCGTCTATTTACACATCACATTTGGTCTGAAGGCACCCACTACTCAGTTCACACTTTTAATAATTTGAAAAACATAATTTTTCTCAACACATACCACAACTTTTCATTTTTGCCCTTAGTCCCACATTACTTAGGTTTGGTTTGCATGTTTAAAAAAAGTCAAAAAGTCATTATCCTATTTAAATCACATCATCTTATTTAAGTCGCATCACCTCTCTAACACATCACTTCAAACCCAACCCAAACCCAACTCATATTTCATAAAAAGTCAAAAAATGCACTTATTTAGATCATCCCAAACAACCCTTAAGTACACACCTCAAATTCAAAAAAAAAAAAAAAAAACCAACTGTTAGACACTTACCAGCAGCCATCACTGGTAACTACTATCAACGCCAACCATTTCACCATTCTTCTCCCTCACAATTGCCAACCTCCGACCACCACTACAACTTGCTTCTCCAGCCACCGATGACTTCCACCATGCGAACAACCGTACTCTCCCTTCACCACTACTAACAGCCTTGCCTCCACCATCGCCATCACAATCAACCCCGTCGCCCAAATTTGCCATCACGATCCATCTCTACCTCCATCGCAAGCCTTCATCCACCGTAGAGACAAAGATAGATCGCGAAAGAGAAAGAGAGTAATTAAGAGGTGGCGGTGGTGGCAGTGGACACTAGGGTTTTGAGACGGGGGGTGAGCTAGAAAGGGTTCTGCGACAAAAGGTAGGGGCGGCGGCGAAAGGATAAGCCGATAACGAAGGGGCTGCGATGCAAAGAGGAGGAGGCTGTGGAGGAAGAAGCAACGAGGGAAAGGGGAGAGTGGTTGGGGAAAGGGTTGCGGCAGAAGAAATGGGTAGTCGACGCTGGTTAACGTTAGGTTTCGGACTTCGACGTCGGAGCCGGCGATAGAAACGACGGCAGTGACAATGATTTGGGGTTAGGGTCAATAAGGGTTACGGTTAGGGTTTGGATGTGTATTCAATTGTGGTCATTTTGATCATTTTCGGTAAGGTCACTATATTAATAAAAAAATAACCAATTAATAGTGTGCCTTGAGATCAAATATAGTGTGTAAATAGAGGCACCCGAAAATAACCTGTCAAAGTTTCCATAATTACAAAACTACCATCCTCACATGCAGGTTATTACTAGGACAAGGCAAAATACCGCATAATCTATTAAAATTATATCGATTCGCATTAATTTATACTGTTTTATCTGCTAATTGTGATTTAAACTTTAAAATTTATAATCTACTTTCAAAATCACTCTGCTCCCCTATAATTAATGCATATATATTTTTTAACTTATAATGAAATATTAAAGTAAAAATGAGTATGAGAGAGATTTAAGATGTGAAATTTATTACAAATTAGTAATTATATATATGAAAAATATTATGCAAATTAGTGTTATATTATACAAGGGCTTGATAATTGGTTAGAATATTCTTCAATCCGCCAATCCGCCCAAAACCACTCAAACCGCAATCTGCTAATCCGCCATTCAGTTTATAATTTTACTCTCAAACTGCCCGAACCGCACCGTGCACAGTGAACACAGGACTTCTGTTGCTTATGATCTGCTTTTTATGCCAGTGTTATATGTATTCCTTACCCATGCAGTTGTTAATAGATACCTTGGCAGTGCATATTTTGTGGTATTGGTTACTGACACAGAATAATTAGACACTGGAACCTTAAACCAAATGGACTACAAGTTTCAGCATCCAAAATGGCAACCTTGATAAACATAAACACAAAATTGGAGTTTAATGTGCTCAATAACATTTGGATGGTAGCATTCAATCATTTGATAATTTAATTTAATATTTTTTTTCTGAACTATTTTTGTTGTTGTTAATGCAGGATAAAACCTTTCAGCATCCATACATATCAGCGATTGGAGCACATACGTAAGTTACCTATCTGTACTTCGAACCTCAGATATGTATCTTTTATACTCAGTGATTTTCATTTTTTGTTGGTTTATTGAGAAAAAAATTGCATCACATGAGCAAACTTATTACAGTTTGTCAGGTTTGAGTTTTGTGGAGTGAATTCTTTATCTTTTGAATTTTTTCTAGTATTTCATTGTGCATGCATGATTGTCTATAATGCTGCAATTTTCTGCAACACTGATTGCGGGAAAATTTCCAATCATTGTAGAGAATGAATAGTCTGAAGTATACAGAACCATTCTTTGGATACTATGCTATACAGAAGCATACCACTCATTTGTGGGATTTCACCATCTGTGAAATGTGGCATAATGCTCCCTTAAGTTAGTGCAAGGTCTGAACCCTTGGTAGAACTCAACCTTGAAAACGAGCTTGCAAGGGGAAGGTGTCCAAGAGAGTTATATTCACTCAACCAACGATGTAGGATCGTAACATCCCACCATGCTCTGCACCTTCGTAGGTATCTTAATTCAGCCTATAGGTCGCCCCCACCACAGTTTGAACCGCAATGCTGCAGTCCATCTGATCCCATACTCGCATAGTTTGTGTTCGATCCCATACTAAAAGCCATAGTCCATCCAATCCCATACTCACACAGGTCGTGTCCTATGAAGCACCGACACGTTGCCTAGGCCTACGTACGAGTGTCGGACACGTGTCGGACACGGACATGCGTCGGACACGCGGTGGACACGTGTCCGACACTCTCTCTAACGTGTCCTCTTTTTTTTTTGAATTTTTGTAGTGGGAGACGCCATGGACACGCTGTGACACTTTCCGGACACGCCTGAGGTGGATCGAATCGAAGCCCTAACCCTAACTGAAAGAGAGAAAGAGATCGAGGGAGAAGAGGAGATAGCGAAAGAGATCAAGGAACGAGAGAAGACAGAGATCGAGTTTTTTACCAAATTAATTTTTATTATGTGTTTAGATAATGATCATGTAATGAGTGATTTTTATTTTCATTAAATTAGTTTTTATTTTTTTAAAAGTGAAATATGATGACAACTTTAATATCATTATTAAACCAATCGATTAAATCAAAAAATCCAAAACTAACAATAATTCATATATATTAAATATATCGATTACATATTAAAACCGTAATAATCACCCATTACATAATCATCATCCAAACACATAATAAAAATTAATTTGGTAAAAAAAAAAATAAATGTCGAAAAGATTCAATTTTACATAATTTTATTTTTGGTTGGTACAAATAATTTTTAAAAATTTAAAAATATTATATTTTTATCAAATTAATTTATATTTTATCAAATTGGCAATTTTACCCTTGAACTTAAGTAATGATAGTTTCAATTGTCCTTATTTGGAATAATATTCAAAATTTATAGTCAAATATATTACAATTAAAAAGTCAAAAATCAAAATAACACGAGTCCCAAACTATAAAGATTGTTAATATAATTTGCTCTAAAAAATATTATACAAATTATATATTATAAATTATGCAAAAAAAAACTTAATAATTAATTATAATATTTTTCAATCTATTAACCTACCTAAAATCACTCAAATAATAATTTGTTAACCTACCAACCCGTCATTTAGGTCAAGTTTGGCAAGTTAAAAAAAATTAAAAAGTCAAAAAATTACTCAAAAGGTTAAAAAGTTATTACTATTCATCAAAAGTAAAAAATTACAGCTACACAACTCTCAATCCTAATTTTTTCCTACACACTAATTTATATAATTTTTTAATACACATTTTTTTCATAAAAAGTCAAAAAATTAACCCAAATATTTATATTTTTTTCTTTAATTTTTTAATATAAAAAAATAAAAAATATATTTATTTAAGACACCACAACAATCCCTAAATTTATAATCTTACTCATAAATCTTCCGAATCGTAGCGCACACCCTTTTTACTTATTACAATGCGCAGACCAATGAAAACGCAATTCTTGCCAAACGTCCATTCGACACTATCATCGAAGGGTCAAGATTTAAAACATTTTCCTGATGGCATTTTGGTTAATTTTCCTCAACAACAGGGCCAGATTGTAAACCCAAACGATATATGTCTTCATAACCCCACCTCTCATCCTCTCTTTCCTGTATAACCACTTCTCCCCTCTCTCTCTCTCTGTCTCTCTCTCTTCTCCCTTCTCCTCTCACCTCTCACCTCTCCTCCTCCTCTCTCTTGACTTTTCCTCCGCCACGCTCACGGCGGCGCCACCACTGGAATTACTTTCTGTCTCAGATCCAGCCGCGTTGTCAGATTCCGGCCAAGTTTCCGGCCACCGTCTCTCTCAATTCAGCTCTCTCTTTCTCTCTCATCTCATCTTCATACCTTTTTTTTTAATTTTTTATATTATTATCTGTTTGCTTTCCTTCCCAACTTTTAAAATAAAAAAAAAATTTGTTTTGAGTGATTTTACAATTTTAACCTCCACTTTCAACGTTATTTACAAGTTAAACCCACTTTTTGGGCAGTTGATTTCACTGTTTTACCTATTTTTCTTTTTGTTTTGGAAAAATTATGGATCAGTGATAGTTCCCGAAAAATATTACAGATCTATAAAAAAAATTATGTTTTTATTTATTAATATTTATAAAATTTACTATTTATTTGTAATTACTGTAAATTTCCCCTTTTTTCTACTGATTTCTCGATGACGGTTTTGCCCTCTGAAAATAACGCCAAAAATTGATTTGATATTTGAAGTTGACGTGGCATTACTGGATTAAAACAAAAAAAAAAAGCGGACGGCTAGGATGAGGAGGGTCTTGACGCCGGGCGCATCGAGAAAGCGCAAGGAGATTGATACAACTACGACTCCAGCCGAGCCGGTTGCTTCTAATCGGCTTCTAGCTGGCTACATGGCCTACGAGTTTCTATCGAAAGGTACGCTTTTTGGGCAGAAATGGGACCCTGCTCGAGCCGAGGCTGTGGCGCCGGTATCGAGTGTGGGGGAATCGAGGAGGACGAAGCCGGAGAAGAAGAGCCAGAGCGTGGAAGCCGAGCCGAGCGGGAAGGTGAAACAGCACTATGAGAGTTATGGTGACGTGGCTAGATTATTGAAGGGAGATGGGGCCCACGTGGCGGAGATTGTCAACCCCACGCAACTTGCTCGGTGGATTCAGATGTGACAATTGCCTTGCGTGGCATGTTCTGATTGGTGTATAGTATTTTGGTCCACGTAATATATGCAAGACCTCCTTCAGCGAATGAGTTTCTCCTCCATAGCTGGTGTGGTGAGTCGATCGAAACTCATATCAAGGGCCTCTCTCTCTCTCTCTCTCTCTCTCTCTCTCTAAAAACTACTAACCCAAGATGGAAATGTGAGAATGTTATTGTCACTTTTGTCTTTTTTTTTTCTTGTGGATTTCTTTTGGTATTTTAGATTTTGTTGATTGCTCTGTATGTATGTATGTATGTATGCATGCTTGTGTTTTGTTCAGTGGTTAACTAGGTTTTCTTTCATATCTTTCATCTGAGCTATATTGGTATATACTTATATATAGCAGTGGATATGTATGCGTCCACCCATGAATAATATGTTATTAAATCTGTAAAATATAAATTTTAATTTTAATTTTAATTTTAATTTAAAAGTGCATATCTTAGGTGTTGCAAGAGGCTCATTCGCTTCTTTATAATAGTATAGCCTGATCGTTCCATAATGAACACCATGAAAAACCTTCACTTTATATAATAATATATAGGGCAAATTACATATACCCTTCGAGGTTTGGCTAATTCACAGATATCCCATGAGGTTTGAGAAATTATAAATTCTTCTTTGAATGTTATATTTACATAATAAATTAGGGGGTAATTTGTTATGAAATGTAAACTTCAGGAGGCAAATTGTTATGAAAATACAAATCTCGGAAGGCGGGATGTAATTTTTGAAACCTCAAGAAAGTATCTGTAATTTAGCTAAACCTCGAGGGAGGTATATGTAATTTGCCCAAATATATAAATTTACATATCCAAGTTATTGATTGGACAAGAAACCGTTCCATAGTAAAAATGGAGGAAGTTGTAAACGTGATCTGATTTTATTTATATTATTGTGTTTGGTTTATAAATTTTTTTTAAAAAATTGAAAAATATAAGGAAAATATAATTATATTTTATATATTTGTTCTTTTTCCTTTTAAATTTATGAACCTTCTATAATATGGAACAAAAGAACAGGTAAGTCATGTACTTTTATCAGGGGTGAGCATGATCTGGATTGGATTGGATTGTGATAAAATTATGACTAATCTGTTATTTATGATTCTTGAAAAATTGAAATCAATTCAATCTATTTAAATCATGGAATCAATCCGAACCAATCCATTTAAACACGGATTGGATTGGTTTAGGACCACGGATTCACATAATTAAATAACAAAAATATATATATATATAACACTTTAATTTCATAAAAACATAAACATGGCGCTATATTAGTTCCACAATAACAACATGTCTTTCTATAATAACGACATATTGTTCTAAAATTTAGGCCTTGTTTGGCAAGTGCTCTTTTTAACCAAAAAGTCAAAAAGTTACTAAAAAAATCAAAAAACCAGCAATCTATACTAAAAAGTCAAAGATTCTCTTTTCTCTCTACTTTTTGCACATCTATTCGTAAAAAGCTAAAAAATCATTCCAAACATATTAATTTTTTTTACATCACATTTTAGCCAAAAAGTCAAAAAGTTACTAAAAAAGCCTGTTCCCAAACGAAGCCTTAAATAACCATAAGAAAACTAGTTTCACCATAAGTATTTAGACTATTACAAATTAAAACTAAAAATTAACAAATAAAAATAATAAAAGAAGATATTATGCGTGTTTAAGTTTGAGTTTAGGTTTGAATTTTGGTTTTATATGGAATAGGAGAAGATACTATAGGAAATGATGTATAATAAAAATATAAACTATTTGTATACGGTTTGGATCGGTTCTAATCCAGAACTGTGAGGCTTAATCCGAAACCAATCCGTGGACTACAGATTTTTAATTATTCAATTCGGAACAGAACCACGGATTCAAAAAACAAATCCAAACTTACTGGATTAAACTGGATTGGATCGGATTACGGATTTCACGGATTCCTTACTCAGCCTTAACTTTTATTAAGTTTAAATTTAAAGCAGTCATGTATGAGGACCGTTTGTTTTCATAGATAAATTGTATGTGATTATTAGTAAGGAACGACAAGCGAAGGGTTTAAGAAAAATTATGTTTGTTTGTTAATTAATACATTAGTAATAGTTTTTATTTGTTTTGAGAGATAATAGTTTGTAAAATTTCATAAAAATTCTTATTGCATTACAATCAAATTTGGACTTATACTACTACTAAATGCATTACATATTTTAATATTAAAATTATATTTTAATATTAAAAATTATATTTCATAATATATATTTTTTGGTACTATTTTTTTTTTTAATATAATTTTTTTTTTGGTATAAATATTATTATACTATTATATTTTTATATTAAATATTTTTGATATAAAGAATGGTGGAGTAAAAAATAAGGGAATAATAAAAAAAAATGGTAGAAAACAGGCCATAGTCAAGTAAAGTAGATAAATTAGGTAGGATAATAGAGGTCAAAATAGTAAATCCCCCTCTAATCTAAAGGATTGTTTTTCTAATACCATCTCCCATAGGGGATATTATTAATCCCATCCATGGAAGCTTATCATAATCTCAATATATTGTGAATTTCCTTCCCTATTTTATAAATAAACATAATATTACTGGATCTCACATCTATTCTAATCCAATCTCATCTCTTATAACCTAGAATAAACGGACCCGAATGAAGTAATTATTTTGATAGCTAAAAAAAATAATTTTGAAAAGGAATAAAAAAATGTGACAGAGAGCACTTGTATAAACTCGTGAAACTTTCTTTAAAGATTAATTGTTACAAATTGTTATGGTGAGAAAAATTAGGAATTAATGTGATTTTGTTAAGAAACATTATGATGTAGTTTTAAAAAGGCATAAAAAAAAATAAATGATTTATTTTAAAAAATATAATTGTCGTTGTTTTTTTCTTTTTCTTTTTTTTTTTTTTGGTGACAAACGCGATAAAATTAAAAATATTATGATTAGCGAATCGATTTAATTTTTTCTTATAGATGAAATATACAAAGTGTCTAACAAAATAAACAGTTTGTATCATCAAAACAGATCTGTAGTGGATCTCACGAGTCTAAATAACGTCCTCCAATCCAAATTATGCCAGATTATGGACAAGAGGTAATCTTCCTTCATTTTTTTCTTTCATTGAACTATTTTCCTATTTCACTTATTATTATGAGACAATTTTTAAAAAAATGTGAGCACAGTATGACCTGTAATTTATTACCATTTATGTACATTCTAATTAGCTGACGTTAGTTATAATTTGTAATTTTTTAGTGGTGACGCATTATAGAAGTTCAAGTTCTTATTAGTTTATTTTTAATAATGATTTATTTTAATAATTATTTGATTCGTCTAAACTTGTCTTAACTATACTGCTTAGATTTGTCCAATGTCTAGATGTGTTTTAAGAACTTGAATTTGTTTTTCTTCCCCACTTCCAATAATACAATCCTGGCTTTGCCCTGGGTGTTTGCATAAAATTTGTTTTTCTTCCTATGTCAAAGACAAATCGGAGCATGGTTTGGTTTTTTTTCATAGTGTTGATCACTAACTTATTTAAAAGTTTAAGTTTAAATTATTAAAGAGATCGATAACTTTATTATTTATATTGTGCTCATAACATATCCCATCATTTATATGGCCACAAAATGTATTTTAATTATCGAATAAGTGATGAGATTCAAACACAAGATCTACTATACTTTTGATATCATATTAAATGGTTAACCACCAATTCATTTAAAAATTTAAATTGTTAAAAAGAAAATTTATTTATATTATATTCTCAACATTATAAGATAATTAAAAAACATGTCTGGCCATACATGATCAGACATGATATGAGTACAATATAAATAATTCTGCCTTTTAATCACCAATTCATTTAAAAATTAAAACTGTTAAAAAAATTATTTATATCATACTGTCAACCTTCCATGAATAAGAACCTCTCATTTCATGTATTGATGTATACATGTCTGCCTTTTAGTTCTGCCTTTTTCTTTTTTTCTTTTTCAAAAATCATATAAAATATGTGGAGAGTGAATTTTTTTTTCCCCAATATAAGATTTATTTGCACAATTGAATGCATAAATCACTTATACTTTCATCATTTTATAATTATTTTTCCACCCTCTACTTTTTTGATGTTCTCCCATCATTAAATTATGATTTGAAATTTATATATTTTAATATTTTTACACAATTAATAATTAGAAGTAGATTGAAATCAATAGAGAGAAATTTTGGGACACAAAATCCCAATTGATATACTACATCATGGGAAATGCTATGGTGTATACCCCCACCTATTACAAAATTGTGTAATTTTATTATAAAATTTTATAATATCAACAAAAAAAAAAACAAATGTATAATCTCATTACAAATTGATATAACAAAAATATTTACAATTTTGTGGTTGATGTTGTAAAAATTTGTGACTTAGTTACGACATTTTTATTACGCCGATTTACGATGAGAATACACATTTGGTTGTTAATGTTACAAAATTTTATAATAAAATATATATTTTTATGATAGTTTGCATACAATATGTTCCAGGGTGCACATCATCACATTTTCCTACACGGTGGTATAAATGTGAGTGCTTATTTTTGTACATCTTTGTACTTTACGATAAATGAATACAATGAATATAACTAGATAGTTATTTTCTATAATAGTGGAGTTAGTTAAGCCTATTTAATACATTTTTAACAACAAAATCCTTTATCTTATTATTTGATGTGTCACTTTAATTGTCAACACTACATTAACAATATTAAAAAAAATTTAAATTATGTTACATTATTAATTGATATATTAGTTAGTATACTAATTAGTACATATAATATTATTCTAAAAATATACATGAATGATAGGATTAATTATACCAATATATTGTGTTGACAAATAAAAAGATAAACAAAATATGATAAATAAACTGTCTACCCCCCCCTTCCAAAAAAAAAAATTCTAAA